CCCCCCCCTTAAAAATAGGTACCATTTCTGTCCATCTCCACTCCTCTGGGACCTTACCTTTTTGAGTTCACATAGATAATCACTAAAAAGTCCTTGGTTAGTTCCCTGAATAATTTAAAGTGAATTCTGTCAGGTCCTAGCAACTTGAATACATCAAAGTTACTGATGTATTTTTAGCTGCATTTTATCTATTCTGGTTTGTGTTTCAAACCTCTTGCTTATTAATATAATTAATTGCTCACAATTAACAACCCCCTATTTTTTTTTTTTTTTTTTTGTGAAGACTGAAGCAATGAGTATTTGTTTTCCTGGTTTGACCAGTTCTTTCTTTCTCTGTTAAGAAATAGCTTTTCTTATTTTTATGTTCCTGCTTAGTTGTAATTCATCTAGCGTGTTCCAATTCCACAAATGAGACAGGAACCTGTAGACTAGGCTCCCAGACCTGGGAGGATCAGGTATGTATTATGAAGAATACAAGCTATTATTTTTTCATCACCCATATTCTCAAACTAGCAGAGTGTGGTTAGTGATCATGGGGCATGTTTGTAGAAAAAAACGGTTGCCTAGTTCCAACCAGAGGATAAGTACATGAGGTCAAGCCTTCAGCTCATGTTCAGCTCCATTGAATTGCATAGTGCTGAAGGCATAAATAGTAATTATAAAATCCAAGAGTGCTTTAGAGGCCATGGTGTCCTGAAAAGCTAAGTAAAAGATCAAAGTTTACCTCATGCTTCCACTCTTGTCAGGGGATAGTAATACTGCAGACAAATTGGGCCAGACCTTCAAAGGATATAAATCAGAACTGAAATCAACAGTGGGCATGTCTATATGTGTCCCTGACTGTGCAGTACCCACATAGTTTTCGACCCTACTCCCCAGCAGCTGTAGCATCACAGTTGGTACCCACTGATGCTATGTCACTGTAGCAACAAGCTACATTGCCATAGCTCATTGCTACAGTGACATAGCATCTCATGTAGATGTGCCCAGTATCACCCTAATTTACATGAGGGGACTATTTGGAGCACTGTATTTTAAAATCTTACCAAAGTACATGGTCAGGTGATGTTAAATCAAAAGCACAACTTTCCAAACCATCTTTGAATTTGATTACTTTTGTGTAGACCCACGCAGGAAATACCAGAATAAGAGAAGCTATCCAAAGGCATAAATTGACTCGAATGGTCTTAGATATTGTTCTCAGGTGGGTGAGGCGAAATGGTTGGACAAGAGCCAAGTATCTATAAAAACAGGTAAAAGAACAAAATTATGGAAAAACGATAGAATTCTCATGTTGTGGTTCCTAAAATAATGAATAAATAAAATAACCAACCAAAGCTACATTTCAAAAGTTGTCAGTTGCTACACACAGGAGGAAAACATTCTCTCAGTCTTTTATTCAAGTAGTGCTTTTACGAACCCACAAGGGAAGTTATGATTTAAGCTTTGCCCCCAATGTCCTTTAATAGTTCTTACACAACTTTTTCGTAAGCTGTGGATCTGAAGGAAGTAGATTTCAGAAGTCATCTGTATAAGGAGTTAGCAAAGACAAAAACCTTGAATTGGTTCTTGGAAGGCAACAGAAATATAAAATTTCATCACAGACTCTCATTTTGCAACATAATTAAAAGATGCCATGGCATATCTGAATGATAGATTTGTTAAACCAGTGTTTTATAGAATGTTAAGGCATCTACTATCAACATGGCCAATGAAATAGAATCAGAACAATTCAGGGTTTACAGACCAAAAAGTAACTTTCAGTTATCTACAGTTTTATCAAATTCAAATGCAATTTCATGACCTGTGTATGCCATAAAATGTTAAAGGTGACTTTTTTATATCAGCTCAAAGTAGAGTAAAGTTGGTAATCTGTTAGCTGAAATACTGAAAATTAAACACAACAATTCATATAGCCACAAATCTGACTTTTAAATGTTTTTTTTCTAGGAATATCACAGGGGTCTCTGTGTGATGGGCATTAAAGTGTATTGAATTTGACATCCTTTTTTAATTCCAGTTATGTACAGTCTATTACTAGCATGGCAACTTGGTTCACATATAAATGTTTTGTTTTGTGGAGAATGCATTGTAATGTGCAGGGAAATTCCATTTTGTTGGTGAAAAATATAAGGTTAAGGACAAGAAATGCAAAACTTGCCAACACATCTCTACCACACCCACAATAACTACACCCCACAACAAAGCCATCATCATTCCTGGATCTTGCACTTGCACCTCCAGAAATGTTATATATCTCATCCAGTGCACCAAATGCCTTGACAGAAAATATGTAGGAGAAACCAAACAACAACTGCATACCAGAATGAACACACACCGAAAATCTATTAAAGACAAGAATACCCAACTATCTGTGGGAGCACACTTCTCACAAGACAATCATTCTCTCCAGTCTCTCAGTTCTAATCCTCAAAGGGAACTTACAAAACACCTTTCATAGATGAGCCCACAAACTTCACTTCATAAATCCAGTGCATACAAATAATCATGGACTCAATATAGACATTGGATTTATGACACATTACAACCTGCCTGACATCTGATTCACCAGGTACCTGCCAGATCTGACCTCTTACACTTTCTCCCCCTGTCCCTTTTTCCCTCCCCTCCATTTCTTCCCTTTGTCTTCCTAATTTCCAGCTATTTCCTTTTTTATAGACAGTCTCTTTACTGTAGAGTCTCCCTTACTCACCTTTGGCTTTTTTGTACCCCACCCCACCACTTTCTTCCCCCTTCCTTCCCTGCTCTACCTTTTATTTTCCTAATTTCTACCTATTTACATTTTCACTGACATTCTGTCACACTTTTAGCTTCTCTCATTCCTTGGAGCCTCAGAACAGCAAAGACTTCTTATGCCTGAAGAAGAATGATTACACCTGAAAGCTTGCTAAGAACTTTCTTCCAACTAAGTGGGTCTAATAAAAGATATCACATCTACTTAAAGAACCCTGCCTGCCTAAGGCTAAGTTCTACATTTTGTGGGTGCATCTATGCAAGACACAAAGTAGCATAGTTTGCTATGCAGTAAGCATATGTGTCTACACATGCACATACTTACTGTTCAGTGAACCTTGCTAATAGCGAGTAAATTTGGTACCTGCAAATGCAAGAAGCAAATTTACTCATGAGTAGCTACTGTGCAGTAATGCTTGTGTAGATGCCTGACCAGGAGCAAATCTGCTCCCAGTCAGCCAGCTACCAGGAGGCAAGAGATTTCTTCCTGCCCCCGGGACCTGCCTGCTGCTGGGGCAGGGTCCACCACCAGATCCCAGACAGGGACTACATCTTCCTGCCCCAGCAACTGGCAGTTCCAAGCCTCACACTCTGAGATTGCTATCAGGGAGTGGGGGATGGGAGATCCTTATCTCCCAGTACCAGCTCCATGTTTGCGGGGTTCAGGCTGGGAGATAAGGATCCCCCAGCCTTGGACTTGATGTTGTGATGCTGGTGCTGGAAGCTTGTTCCCCACCCAGTTCCATGCACGCAGAGCTGAGCAGGGAACACGTTCCTCAGCTTGTTCCTCACCCAGCTCTGTGCTTGTGGAGCTGAGTGGGGAACAGGCTCTTCAGGCCCCACCCTGTGAGCATGGAGTGAAAGATAGGAACTGTCTAGGTTACAGGCAGGTCCTATCCCAGCCCCATCTGCCAGTGGGGCAGCTAGTAGTGAGCCCCCATCTGGATAGGGAATCCCCACCCAGCCAGAGGCTCACTGCTAGCTGCCCCACTGGTGGATCGGGGCAGTGAGCTGGGACCTGCCCCTCCCCTGCAGGTCTTTCAAAGTCCCCTGCCCTGATCTGGGAGCCAGGGTTGGGAGCTCCCTGCTGCTGGGGAAAGGGAGGATTGTCCCTGCCATGGCAGAAGACAGCTTAGCCAGGGGCAGGGAACAATGTCCCAGCCCTGGCCAGGAGACAGCTGTCTCCTGGCCTGGTGCTCCCTGCCAGCCCCTGGCTTAGCACCCAGGGGGAGCCTTGAGCTCCCCTTGGTGGCAGCAGGGGCCCATTGTAGGGCCATAGGAAGTGGAAGCAGTTTGCTGCTAGGAGAAGCAAATCTTCTCCCAGTTCCCTGTATGTGTAGACACCTGTCTGGGAGGGGTTACTCATGTGTAGTTTACTCGCATGTAAACTGATTTTGCATCAAATGCATATGTAGACATGCCCCGTCTGTACCTTTTCCACACCATGCAAGCAGGATCCAAAAAAACTGAGTCAGACATGGACATGGACAAAATGAATAGAATGCAAATCCAGACCTGGTGTGTGAAGGTGGTATAAAGCTCCTATTTACATTGCCCTGAATCCTGGTTTTGTTTAATGCATGTCATGCTCACTGGGTACGTCTGCACGAGATGCTAACTGTGCAATAGCCTAATAACACTGCACAGTAGTGTGCCAGGCAAAAACCATGCTAATACACTACTGTGCAGTAGTATTAGGTTAGTGCGCAGTATCATTAAAAACCTGTGTGCTGGCACTACTGCAAAGTAGCATGAGTTAAGGCACATTGATTTAGTACTTGATTAACCAAGTAGTAAACATAATGCATGGTAACTACGGCACATTAATGAATGTGTAGATATGCCTGCTGTTCTTCTTTTATGAGGAAAAGGTGAAAGAGCTAAGATTAGTTAGCCTGGAAAAGAGAAGACTGATGGGGCATTTGATAACAGTCTTCAAATCCATGAAGGGCAATTGGTATTCTTTCTCATAGGCAGTGTACAGATCTGATGTTGAGCTCAACATACCTGGGATATACCTTGCGTGGCAGCCCCTTGGGATGGGGCGCCATACACTTCTCTTCACAGCGCTCACAAAATTGTTATCATTCTCATGGGTAGGTATAATATCCCTCACTGATTTCTCGATTGCCTCTGTGAAGGCTGCCCAATTGGCTTTCCTCAGATTGAAACACCTGCAGAAGGGAGTGTTTTGCAACATTATTGGGGACTCTAATTTGATACTTATAGGACAATGTTGGGTGTGAGGTATGGGCACCAGCACTGCTTTCTTGCATATATAGCTGATTTCACTGCTTGTGAAGCTGATGTCTGGGTTGTAGCCTTTTCTCCAGCTGTTAAATGAATTGGGTTGTTTAGGATCATGTACTAACGTCAGATTACTAGTATCTGCCCATTAGTTAACTGGGATGCCATCATTGTTGTTATCACATCCCCGTGCTGTGTAATGGGAGTTAGAGTCATCACCAGGAATCCTGGTATTCTCTGATAAACAGACTGATACAACAGGCTGCCTAAAACCCACCCCTGTTCCTTGTCTATATGGACTATCTGGCATAGCACCCCCTTACATCAGAAGGAAAATAGCAGGTGACATTAACTGGCAGGTACAAGAATTAGACGACTGCCAGCCTCTATATGGACATCAACCAGCGTACCATCATCTCTCATCGAGAAATAATTTTTTGTCCTCTACCACACAATTGATCACATCACCAGAATCAGCCAGAACTCCCCTCTGGCAAAAAGAATGGGAGAAACTAGGTGACAAACTGTTGAATGAAGCTAGTGAGGAATTACCCCCAGTGAGGAGTTAGCATCTGGCTCCAACTATGAATGGCATACATGGCAGCGCCTGAACAAATTGAGAGTGGGTCTCGGAAGATGTAACTTTCTCATGAAATCATGGGGCCTCTGCAACTGGTCAACGTGTTTATCAGGAGAAGCAAACCATGGATCATTTCCAGAAAGGCCCTGTAGCATCACAATGCACCCCACAAGATCTGACAACACCAACACCAGAAGCAGAATATTGGGAATAGACCATATAAAAAGGTTGGATTGGAGACATGAAGAAGACGACTCAACCAATTCTCCAATGGTAGCCACCCAATAGGTACTATTGTAGGTATTATTACAGAGCCTGGACACTTGGTGGAGGGGAAGCTGGTTTGCATTGAGCAAATTGGGAGTGAACAGGACCAGCAAACAGGGGAAGCAGTTTGCAGGAAGTTTTCTGGGTGCATGAGGAACAAGGGGAAGGGGAAAAGAAGCCAGGCACCAGATCCTGCCCTGGGAAGGTGAGTGGGCCAATTTGGTGGCTGAATCTCTGAATCTGAATCAAATCAAGGGACCAATTTAAAAGTCTGAATCAATTCAGAGTTCTCTGTGGAAAAGATTCAGAGAGCTTCAATGATTAGGACAGTCCCCGATGGCTGTAGCAGGGAGCTGCAGCTGCTCTCGGAGCTGGTAAGTACTAGGGTCAGGG